TTTACGCCTACGATTCGCCTCACTAGTTGAAGGTAGACTGTCAAGCAAAAATGCAGTTTTTTGCTGGACATTGACGAGATACAGAAACCAATGACGTGCTTCATCTTCAAGAACTGGCATAAATATCTAGCAACGAAACACTCACTATATGTTATAAACAGCGAATACAAACAAATGCACTTTCGAAATTTAATGATATAGGGACATTGACTAGACTAACCTTCTGGCATGCACTGACATTCGGCATAAAGTCCACGCCATCATTCATCAACTTGTTACGAATTTGTCTGGTCTTCATGTTAGCGCGTACCATTTTCTGCACCATGTTTTAGTTGAGATGAATTGACATGGTACAATATAAATAACTAGGTTATGACAAATAATTTGACATTACGGCTCTTACCGAAAACATATTTGGAAAATACCACACATTTGGCTCTTTCACATCATGTTTTTCAGACATTGTTAGTGCCCTTGCACACAAATCCACTACCTACCATCCAACAATAAAACACAAAATCATCGTAAATCGTAACATAAATAGTGCACAATTCATACGAAAGTCGTAGTAGTATAGTACTTACTGATGAGCAAACCCAACTTTTCTCGCTAATGACCGAACTCAAATAATGTCGTTGCAGGTTTTCAGAAAAAAAGTCCACAATCATCAAACTGCAAAAATCAAGATAACAGAAATGTCAATTGTTTTTTTGCAACGTACAGGTCGACCTGTACACAGTCAAGGTCGACCTTATTGGACACACGGTCGACCTTATTGGACAACCGGTCGACCACACGTACTAGAAAAACGTCTTACTTGTCCCAATTCTTGTCCCCAACCTTCTCTTTAGTAACAACATAATACAAGTCTTCAACTGGATTTTGAAGATTTTTGGTGAATCCTTCTAGACCCTCCACTTTCATGACCTACAAATCATAGTTAAAATTAAAGTAACATATGAACACAAACACACATTATAGATGAAAATGTAACGTAAACTTACCCCGTGCTTTTCGAAAGGACTCTTAGATTCATCTTCATCGCTATCATCACTAAATAATCCCTTTCTTACAAATTGATCCTTCTGTGGAGTGGTGTAGGAGTCACTTTCATATCGCGGTCTCTTGTAATTAGGAGAGGAACCCTTGCGGCCATTCTTTGTTTCACTCTGTCAAACATATAAACAAAACAGATTAGCACTAATGATAGTAATACTAATATCTTCAATCACATATGAATATACTTGGATACCTTTAAAATGTGCTCTTTCAATAAATCGTCTATGCTCTGGTAGCAATTTTCAGAGTCATCATGGTCTTCCTCCTCTTTACAAAAGTCAAATTTCTTTCCTTTACCATTTCTTCCGCCATTCTCCATTCGTTCTGCACTTATATCTTTGATAGCACCTTCTAGCCTCTCAAACCCGTCATGCATCATCCCAGTCATATCTGTCAGTCGAACTGACAAATGCTCGACTTGTGTTTGACACACCACCAGCTTCTCTTGTGTGGCTTTCAACAATTTCATGATTTCACCCAAATCTTGATGCAGTTTCTCATCATGCGTCATCGTCTAAACAATTTAAAGAAAAATTAAAATCATAATTCAAGTACAAATTTCTATAATTGACCAAAAAACAAAGACGTGGTCGACCTGACAAAGTATTAGGTCGACCTGTAAGACATATAGTGACTACCACAACTCGTCAGGTCGACCTCGGTTATTCCTAGGTCGACCTATCCAGCAGGAAAATAACAATTACAAACAAATAGTAAGTTCAAAATTAAACCGAAAAAAGGACAGGTCGACCAGATATCTGGCACGGTCGACCTTTTCAAGCACAACATAGTGATACAAACAAAGCCAAAGTCGACATTCAGGTTGAATAACAAAAAAAAACATATACGGTCGAACTTGAAACTCATTAGGTCGACCGATTGGGTTACCTCGCAAGTACAGAAGTCCAAGTGTTGTGGCCTAAATTCAAATACGAAGAATTGTCTCGTCAGGTCGACCTGGTGGACGTCGCGGTCGACCGAATTGGATTCTGCACCCAACAATATATCAAGTTAGCCGGTGGAAATCACGCATTAAAAAAGAAGACGGTGAATGCTACTTTAGGTCGACCTCACCTTAGACCTGGTCGACCACTTCCAACACGTACAACAGCAACCGCGAACGATCTTCTTCACAAAGGCTCTAAGTCGGAAAAAAACCTAATTCAGACTTGGTGGCGTTGAAGGGGACTCATATTCGTATTTATAGAGATTTGGACGTGAATGGGTCGACCCAATTCGTTTCCTTGTCCAATTGTGGAACCTTTCTGGTGTTGGAATCCATATCCAATACGGATACGGTCTGAAGGCGGTCGACCTCTTCCCAATGCGGTCGACCTGTTAGGTGCACAAGGGTCGGCCTATGAGATATTTGGGTCGACCTGTTGCTCTGTTAGACCACCAAAACGGTCGACCGCATTTTGTAAGAGGTCGACCGCCTTCAGGAACCCAACATACGTGAATTAGCCCATTCGGTCGACCGCAAGTTGTATTCGGTCGACCGAAAAGTCCATGTCACGGTGACATGCATGTCACCGTAGCAAAATCCAACTAATTATTATAAATGATAAATAATTCATCCAACCATCTGTGTATAATTACTAATTAGCTAATGCTTTTAAAAGTTCTATTTATCTAAAGAATCAAAATTTATAATCAGATTCATCTTCACTTGATTACTTGTCATGCTCTAGAAAATTATTAACACATCCGAACAATGATGAAATGAACTAATACATAAAACCCAATTGTGTCTCATGATTGTTAGATCGAACCATGCCAGATTAGCAAGAAATTTAAAGGTTTAGCGGCAAATCAAAATAAAATTTTCAGAGAACCAATCACTTATTGTTTGCACAAAAATATTGTTCCTACATGGTAGTTCTACAGATTAATATTAAGTTAACAATTTTACATCGCTTCTGGATATTTAATATTGTAATTCGATATGTAATATTTGAACCAATGCTATTTGGGTTACGATTTTCAGATTATCCTCCCATTAATAAGATATAAAGAAATTAATTTAAGATCGAATTAAAATAATCAAAATATGAAAATCAAATTATCAAACACAAAAAAATACGTAAAGGAGACCTAGAGGACTAGCTAAGTGTGCTCGAAAAAAGTCTCCTAATTTTCAAATTTAGCTCCCTATATTATTTAAATATTGTAATTTACAACAAATTTGTTTAGTGTAATTAATTACAATTATTATTTTTATCTAACAAGATCTTGGTTTAAATCCCAACACTAATGAATAATTTTGTAAATAAGCTGGAAATAAATAGCTGTAAAAATGAATATACCATTCATACTTTCTCATTCCACTATTATATATTTTGTAGATAAATATAGCAGGTGAGTTTCTAGTAGCCATCATAGATAGGGTGGGGAATATAATACTATTAATAATTTAATATTGTCTTCATTACATCATTCATAAATAATTCCAGCACCTAAAGCTAAGAGTTCAACACTCTGCAATTTTTCCATTTGTTGAATGATTTAGGGTATTGTTATAGACTTTTAGTGTTTTTCTTTTTTATCTTTGTTAAAATGGAGAAACTTACAAATTTGGGTGGTTCATGTAAGATTTGAACTTAAGAATTTTTCATAATCATGTTTTAATGATCTATATTTTTTTATTAGTCATCGATTCATTAGCGGTTTTTTAATGATCTAATACCGGTTAAACCAGTAAAATGCGAGTCATTCACTATATCGGTTCATTCTCAGGTTCGATTATGACAACATTGCTCTACAAACTAAGTCATCTACACCAAGACCCCAGAAACTATCATCTCCAGTTCAGCAATAGTTAGTTATACATATAGCAGCAACATCAACTATGTACAAAAAGAATCAAATGTAAAATAACATAAGACTGATATACTCAAGAAGTATAGCATACTTCAAGTGATACGATCATTAGATGTACTTCAATGAGCTCTTACAAAGGTTAATTATTATTTTCTATTAAATTGAACTTTGAGTTTAGGTTTAGAGAATAAGGTTCCAAGATTTATCCATTACAGGTTAGGCTATAGTATCATACCACAAAATTGGTTTAATTCATGGTCTAATTAGAGATATATCACTAAGAATGTCTGCAGTATCATATACTCCACCAATATAGCAATCTATCACATAAAATCATATATTAGTAGTAGCAAATGTATTCAAAGTTTCAAACACTAAGCTGTCACCAACACTGAACCACCAGATTTACCATTTACACTTTAAGCATCAATAACAAGTCCATTATCTTACGTTAATTAAATGGACGTGAATCCAAGAAATCTAAGAACAAAAAGGCAAACAGCTAGTTAAATAGTTAAAACATCAAGAATATAATCATCAAATAATAAACATAACATATTACCGTTAACCAACTCCTCAATGGGATTCATACGAGTTTCTAGTGGACCCACCTCCATGTCACTCATAAATGATTTGGAACATAGCCAATTCTGAGTACATACACGTGCTTCCACTAGTCCTGGAGTAAGTTTTATTCTAGAAGGGTCTACAATGCGATCAATAGTGCTCAAAGTAAACTCACTTAGTAAATTGTGATGGTTGATATATGAATACCTAGTATATCTAGTGCTACTTGTGCAAGAACATGATAGATGGATGAATTGACTTTCCACCCTACGAAGAGATGAAATTAGGCGGAGGATTACTAGATACGAGAAACGAGAAGAATGAAGCCCTTGTTGTTCAATTTCAGCGGTCCAGAGGAAAGAGTAACAAAACCTAGAATTGGAAACTCTCATTTCATTGTGTATGATCTATTAAAGGTAGTGTTTTGCGGATTGAACCCACTTGAATCCTAAGTCCTAACCCGCCAATGATGAATTAATTTACCCAAAATCCAAAGCCTCACCCGCCTGCAAATTTCTTTCCCTTACCTATTTTCGGGTGGGTCGGGTTGGATCGGCCAAATGGGTTGGTTTACGGGTTGCTTTGCTCCCCTATTTGTCGTTGCATACTCCAGCAATCAGTTTGCCATGATAAGCTAACAGATGTAATTTTCAGTTCACCGTGTTACCGCAAATTGATAATACGATTAAATTAAATCAGCAAGGAAGACAAGAATCAACATGCACTGAGCTAAAATCCTCTTACAAGCAAAAGCTACTGCCCATCCGATATTGGATTCTGTGTGACCGATGTAAAAAAAATGTGTCAAGGAAGATTCACCAAGCTAATTCTCCATAAGAAAATAATAGTAAAAGTCTATGTACAAAACTTTTATATCACCCCTGATTTGCAAGTTCACATTCAAGTTTTGGTCAAGAGCTTGCCATCTCCGCGACATTGGCTTTTACACATATAGGCTATAGCCATGGCTGTTGATTGATGGATCACGAACCACCATGGCGGAAGTAGAGCACGGACCGATATATGGCGGCAACATGAAGAAAGCACAGAAGAAGTATAAGAGCATCATCCAGGAGACCAACTATGCCCAGTATCCCTGCACATTTTACATTCCGTAACTGAATGTGTTAACAAACAATGTTACTGCTGAAGACAATCTTAACATGTAATATGGCAGACATTTTTATCTCACCTTCTGGAATGATATCTACAGGACTGAGAGTGTAGAGTGCGCTTAGTATCACCTGGATCACGAAAAAAATACGATGAGAGTCCATCCATATTGCACAACTGAGCGTAGTCAGTGATTCAGAATTTAGAACTATTATCATCAACAGTGGATCAAGAACAAGCAATTCCGACACTGTTTGCAGTTTCCTAAGGCGACAATAACAACTTACCTAATAAACCTATGCAAAAGGGGGTCGTCTCTTATGTAATCCTCTCAAGATATGTGCTACTTGGACCAGCTTACATGATCATAAAACTCAAGTGACTCTATTTGATGGTTAGCCATCGTGCATGCTACGTTTACACTAGAACAACAAACAAAAATGAACATTCTTCCCCTATAGTTGCTTGTGTTTCAATTCACAGAAGTAACATGTCATCAGTTCTAAAGCTTGCTAACACCACTCATGTGAACAACATCCTAATTTGCATCTTAGAAGTACAGAACCTGTAGTCAAGGATCAGAAATGCATAAAGATTAGGATTGAGAACTCGCTTTTCAGTTTGTTTGACTTTGGTGGCATGAACTTTGAAATGCCAATCACAGATGACAGACGTGTGATGCTTCTTTGTCTTCCCATGTCTGAGAATTACTCTCCCGTAACAGACCCAAATCAATCAAACTTTTGCAAAGATAAATAGGGGAAAACACATCAAAACAGTTCAGATCTAAAACAATGATAAGGGTGCAGAAAACATGCATGTGACTGTTAATCAGTTATCACTTGGTCCTTCTTCAGAAAGCTGTTGGCATACTTAACTGCAATATAAACCCGGGCTCTAATGACAAGAGGAAGTGATCTTTGCGGATCCATTAGCTCTCGGAACAACCTCCTGATAAAAAATGGAAGATCTTGCATTCTCTGCACACACAAAATAAACTCATCTAAGCACTAGATAAACATAAAGCATTGTCCCGAGCTCCAACTACTATCTCAGGAGTAAAGCAGAACAGGACCAGAATTTCAAACCGCCTAACTAAGACCGGAGCTTCAGCCCGCAACAAAACTCGGGGTCATTTGCATTGAATCATATACAGATGACATGAACTCATACAACTATCATTAGACAGGAAAAATGTACTCAACGGTCCATAATCAACAGCTGTTCTAGAACCAATAGCAGAATTAACCAAAATTATTTGCAAGGCTGAAGAACAAGAATTGCTGGGAGCTGTAATCACCTGGATTAAGCCAGAAGTTTCTCCACCAAAGAGACGATTGTACCTTTGAACCTTCACAAGAACTTCAGAAACCTCGGTGTCATTGCGGTCCCTTAGAGCAGCTTGACCAGGAACCAGCAATGTGATCGACCGGCGACAGAGTGGACACTTGCACGCCTGAACTGCAGATCCATGCTGCCACACAAGCATGATACAATCGCCTAAGACACACAACAGAGAAGATTGTGGTTATACCAGGTCCAAGTCAAGAAGAAAATCGCTACGCCATTGAGACCTCCAAGCGCAGGAATCAATAGAACAACAAAAAACTTATAAGCAATCGCATCATCAAGCAATCATAACGAAACCGACGGCAGAGAACAGGCGCAGCAGTTCAAAAGAAGAGAGTGACAAGAAATTGGAGAAGAAGGACTAGTATGTATCAGAAGCAAGTTCTGGTGCTGGAGGTTGCCGCTGAATCTCGGAATCCAAACAGGAAAGCGAAATGCGACCAGTCAATTACAATAGGGAGGAAATCAGAGGGGATTACCGCAAAACCAGTGGGAGCAATTGGCCTGGCAAGGGACCTTGAATCTTCCATGGCAGATGGAGCAGCAATCGTTCGCCGGAGGCCCGTCGTCCATCGGAGTCAATTTCACTCTCGATCAATTCGCTCTCCCTCTCTCTGTCCCTCAACTCCCTGATTGCTTCGCGGTTAAGATGGAGAATAGAAAGAGGGTCTGGCAGCTCGTTTCCCAACACAGCTCTGCAAGTTTCCTGCGATGGCTAAGTTTTCGTCTCATTTTCGAAGTGTCATTCTTAATCATTCGAGTGCTTTATTTATTCAGCTCTGAGGATTAGGTCCTTCCGTTAGGTTTTCTGGTTACTATCTTCTGTCAGTTAACTGCTCCAAAACGTCTAGAATATAATTCGACCATCGGGCCGACGGGCCCGGCTGACTCACCGTCCGAGCTACAGGCCGGTGATTGGCCCAAAATTTCAAAAGTTTGTGCTTTTGTGGCGAGGATCATATAAAACTCAATGCACGGAACCAGGGTTAATTCCATAAAAATTATTTTTTTTACCACCAATATGGTAGTTTAAAAATTATTGACATGTTTATTGTGCCAGAGAGGCAGAGACTGAGGTCGAGACTAAGGCGTTGGCGCCTATCATTTTCACCCAGCGGCCCCGCCCGAGACTAAGGCGGGTTCGCTGCCTCCCCCACCCACCCCAGCACCATATATATCCATTGATTTTCCTTCGATTGTTCACCACCAAAAAAATCGATGAAGTTAGACGAGAGAAGCTCTGATTGCTGGGAAAATGGCTAATAGGTAAGAGACACATTTATTTTTTTAAATTATATTCTTCAAATACTATTATGATTTTGTTTAGTTAATAATTAGTGAGTTTGTGTGTTTATGTAGTGATTTTAGAAGATTTGAACTAGTCGTTCGGTGGAAAGCAAAGAAAGCAGAGGATAATTTGAGCGTCCATTTCGTTGGTGGTAGAAGTTTTCAGTTGACGGTTCCATCCAGGGTGACATATCACAAACTTTGTGAGAATCTAATCCAGAGAATACGGCATAAAGGCGAAGCAGTACAAGAAAGTGATATGATCACAGGTTTCACTTACTATCTTCCAGAATGGCAGAATGATGTTTTAATTCATTATGCGATGCCTATTGTGGATGATGATAGCTTGAATGCGCTTTGGAATTTTATGGCACAAAACTCTAATTGTTTGGGTGCTGAGATACATGCTGAGCTATGTGAGGATCGGGGTGGAGAGGAAGAAGATGAGACATGGAGCATGGCATCCGATCATGATGATGTTGACGGAGAGGAGGAAGACGACGAATAATCATATGCTGATTCATATGGCATAATTTCAATGCCTATTGTTGCTGGTTTTGAAGGAGAATTCTACAAGGGGCAGATATTTCACTCGAAACAAGCTGTGCGTGTGGCGATTAAACACCACGCACTACAACACAACTTTCAGTATGGTGAGGTGGGGTCGTCACCTTCAATCTGGAAGGTTAGATGCTTGAAGCACAAGGATGACAATTGTCCTTGGATGGTGCGGTTTGGACGTCGAGATATTGGAGGCAAATGGACTGTGAGAAAGGCCGAGTTGGTGCATTCTTTTAGTAGTACGACTCAACCGACGGATCATTGCCATTTTGATGTCGATGTTATATTTGAATCCGTTAAACATTTGGTACGTGCCCAACCAAAATCTGAGTGTTCTAACTGTGCAGGCCGAGTTGAAAGATAAGTTCAATGTGCAAGTTACTTACAAGAAGGCTTGGTATGAGAACCAAAGAGCATTGGAGAAATTGCATGGAAATTGGGAAGAATCCTATGATTATTTGCAAACATTCTTGCGGGTGGTCAAGAGAAAAATGCCAACATCAGTGATTGATTGGGTAAGAATTCCTTCATCGCAAGCAGGTCACTTGATCGTTCAGCGAGTATTCTGAGCTTATGGGCCTTGTATAGATGGATTCAAGAATTGTCCAGGAGTCATGGTTGTTGATGAAACATTTCTTACTGGAAAGTATAAAGGAGTGCTACTCATGGTGTTTTCCCGTCGAGAAAATCTAGAAGAATAGAATTGGATTTTGCACCTTTGACTTCCAAACAAACGATCAAACAACACAGTTCACATCTCTTTGAACAAAGTTCAAACAAGGGTGTTCAATGTTTTGATGAACTACGAGACAAATCTACATTAAATTAGCCCTACTCCTATGGAGGTTCAGTGAGAGCTCCAAAAACTACGACTATGGCTAAAATCTGCAGAGGAAAAGAGAAAAAGATAAAACTTGACAAATGGTGTCGAGTTGTGATTTTTGCGAACCCTTTCTCTGTCATCTTCACCTCCTATTTATAGCCATCAGAAGTAACTGCCCCAAGAAACTGCTCTGCTGATGTGGAGTAATGGTTACCCTCTCAACTGCTATGATGGTTACCCTGATGTTGGAAGTGGGATCCTCTTCAGTCTTGACCCCCTCCTCTTGAGACCTCAACCTCTACTCTTGGGATCTCCTCCGTAGTTTTGCTTATCGATAGAGTAAAAATGGCTAAGGCATGAAGGAATATCACGTACCACATATGGGTGAGTATTTGAATCACATGAATTAAAAATGGCAAAAAATACTTCACCATTAGTAGAGTAAAGAGACCACGTGCTCACACCATACCATTGGGGGCATCCCCCATGGGGGTCATATGGATCACCCCACCACTATATCATTCTCATGGGAGCCGGCGTTGGTGACCCCCCACCCCCTGATCATACCATGGGGCTGGTATGTTGGTGGTCCCCAGACCACCTCATGGGGGTGCTCCTCGCCACCCTCATCATCTTCCATACTTAGCCACATTTTTCCTCTTTTCGTCTCACCAGGACCATGGGGGTGGTGGTATGGTACCCACCCCTCTCGGTACCCTCTCGAGGGTGGGCGATATGACTGTCACACTCCTTCGGCATGTCCTGGGGGTGGCTGTATGATGCCCACCCCCTACCATGTCCTGGGGGTGGCTCTCATACTCCTTGCCTTAGCCAAATTCGGCCATCACCCCCTTGCCATGTCCTGGGGGTGGCGGTATGATGCCCACCCCCTAGCACATCCTGGGGGTGGTATGATGATGGTGGCCACCCCCCTTGGCCAGTCCTGGGGGTGGACGTATGATGCCCACCCCTTGCCATGTCCTGGGGTGGACGTATGGTGGCCACCCCCTTACCACGTCCTGGGGGTGGTGGTATAGTGCCCACCCCCCTCGGCATGTCATGGTGGTGGCTATATTTCGATACCCCCTTCGGTCTGTCATGGGGGTGATGAAAGTGTCCACCCTCCTTACCACGTCATGGAGTGTCAGTATGGTGGCCACCCCCTTACCACGTACAGGGGGTGGCAATATGATGGCTACCCCCTTACCACGTCCTGGGGGTGGCGGTATGCGGTATGATGGCCACTCCCCGGCACATCATGGGGGTGGCTCCAATACTTAGTCAAATTTTGGAATAGATGGTTAGAGTGACGCATGATACCATGAGATTATGGGCCCAAAAACCCAACCCACTTGGCCCATCTTAATCGATTTAATTGTTATAATTAAGTTGGCCTTATAAAGCCATTTAATTCCTTATATTTAATCTATGTGGTACAAGGTAAATTTTAGTGGTAAACATATGGCGAGCTCATTTGATGGCCGGAAGAACATTTTTCCAATTGCATTTTCAATAGTGGAGAGTGAGAATACTGATAGTTGGACATGGTACATAAGTCACATTCAAACTTCTCTGTAGTCTCCTGTGATGCATTTCCGGGGAGATGACTGAATTCATCCCTCAGCCAACCAATCCTAATGACACCGCAGGAAAGATCATCAGGAACCCGTCCTAACAGTCTCACACAGATCTCCGACCACCCATCATCTGGTATGTCTACTACGACGACATCACTGTCGATCGCTAGACTGGTTAGTGTCACAAAGTCCTCTAAAGTGATCGTGACCTCACCGAACAACAAGTGGAAGGTCAACGTCTCGGGTCGTCAACGCTCTACGAGCGTAGTAATCAAACTTGCATCAGCAATCATAGGAACCAGGGGCAAAACACTAGACAAGCCCGCCTCTAAGAGATACGTCAGATAACATTCATGGTACACTACTAAATTGGTCGTACCTCGAACATGGTAAGGTCAATCACAGCCTATAATGCACACAACAAACTTATAATAATTCAATTCCATGCGTTATTCTAATTTCAGCTAGAAAAATCTATCTAATCTAATCTCTAAACTTATACAAATTTCATAATAATTCAAACGTAATTCTATTCTAACTTCAGTTCACCTAGTTAAAACCTATAATAGTCTAATCTAACTAGCTAGTTAACTTTAAGAAAGTAGTTGTTATGAAAGACTTACTTCATTTGCCCAAACTGTGTGGACACGAGGTTGACCATGTGCCCAAAGAAGTTCTGAATCGACCGGAGCAGAGGATCAATTGTCATAGACGGTGGTCTCATGTAATAACTGTTCATAAGTCTAGAAACTGAAAAAAAAAACAAATAAAAAATATCAAAACATATAAGGAAAAACTCAATTAAAAAAATCTCGCCACCGTCAAGAATCCTGCCGTCGGCGGCGAGATCCTCACCACGGAACCGGCCACCGCCATGACCTCACCGCCTTCCTCTGCTAGCTACTACGTCAGATAACATTCATGGTACACTACTAAATTGGTCGTACCTCGAACATGGTAAGGTCAATCACCAGCCTATAATGCACACAACAAACTTATATTAATTCAATTCCATGCGTTATTCTAATTTCACCTAGAAAAATCTATCTAATCTAATCTCTAAACCTATACAAATTTCATAATAATTCAAACGTAATTCTATTCTAACTTCAGTTCACCTAGTTAAAACCTATAATAGTCTAATCTAACTAGCTAGTTAACTTTAAAAAAGTAGTTGTTATGAAAGACTTACTTCGTTTGCCCAAACTGTGTGGACACGATGTTGACCATGTGCCCAAAGAAGTTCTGAATCGACCGGAGCAGGATGAATTGTCATAGACGGTGGTCTCATGTAATAACTGTTCATAAGTCTAGAAACTAAAAAAAAAACAAATAAAAAAATCAAAACATATAAAGAAAAACTCAATTAAAAAAAATCTCGCCGCCGTCAAGAATCCTGCCGTCGGCGGCGAGATCCTCACCACGGAACCGGCCGCCGCCATGACCTCACCGCCCTCTCCGCCTTCCTCTGCTGGCTACTAG